AAGAGTACAGGAGTGCTCGACCTGGTTCACTCGGATGTGATGGGTTCGATGCAGAACAAGACACCCGGCGGCTGCAGATATGCAGTGACCTTCATCGACGACTTCTCGAGACATGTAACTGTCTACTTCATGAAGGCTAAGTCGGAGGTGCTGGCGAAGTTCAAGATCTTCAAGTCAGCAATGGAAAACGCGACAGGCAAGACGATCAAGCGCTTGCGTACAGATAATGGTGATGAGTACACGGGGAAGAAGTTCAGGGCCTATCTCAACCGCAGTGGCATCAAGCATGAGAAGACGGTGCCCTACACGCCTCAGCAGAACGGACTCGCTGAGCGAATGAACAGAAGTCTAGTGGAGATGGCACGCTGCATGATCTGTCATGAAGACATGGAGAAGAAGTGGTGGGCTGAAGCGGTGAACACGGCCGCGTATATCATTAACCGGATTCCCAACTCGGTGAACAAGAAGACCCCCTACGGATTATCGCTGGAGCCAAGCCCCAACTCAAAAACTTGAAGGTATTTGGTTCACTTGGCTACGCACACATCCCGAACGAGAAACGCCGCAAACTTGACGCCAAGGCATTCAAGTGTCGTTTCCTGGAATACGAGGATGGTGTGAAGGGATATCGTGTTCTCAACGTGTCGACTGGCAAGGTGCAGATCGTGCGCACAGTGAAGTTCATGGAAACATCACAACTTTCGCAGCCCAATTTGCAACATGAGGACAACGACGATGAGACAGCAGCTATGGAGCCGCAACATAATGGTCAACAACTTCTACAAAACAGTTTGACCGATATTGAAGTTGGTAGCGAGATGCCGACCACTTTGGTGCCATCTGGATTTGCCCATCCCATGATTACGCGGTCACGGGCTCGTCATATTGAAGAAACAGCCGACCCTGAGGAACCTGGTGCTCGTAAGAAACAAGTCATCGATGCACCATCGTCGAGTGGGACGAAGCGCCAGAAGATGACTCAAGAGCGAGTGCGGTAACCTGGTGATCAGCTCGCCATTGAAGGTGGTCAAGCGATGGCTGCAAGTGAGGAAGTTGCAAGATCGTACGAGGAAGCTACGACTAGTGCGGACCAAGAGAAAAAAATGGAAGAAGGCGATTGAGAGTGAGCTTGAGTCGCTCATCTCAAACAAGACGTGGAAGCTGGTACCAAGACCGGCTCACCAGCGACCTATCGGCTGTCGTTGGGTGTTCGCCTTGAAGCGCGATGAGAAGGGGCAGGTTATCAGACACAAGGCCCGTCTCGTTGCCAAGGGATACTCACAACGTCACGGCGTGGACTACGAAGAGACGTACTTGCCGGTAACTTACTTGAACTTGATTCGTGCGACGTTAGCCAAGTGTTGCGCAAACGGCAAGGAGATCGAGCAATGTGACGTAGACACAGCGTTCCTCTACGGAAAGCTAGAAGAAGAGATCTACATGAAACTACCCGAAGGACTCCGAGAGCTGCTGGAACTAGCTGAAGGCGAAGATGAAGATGACGTCGTCTGCATGCTACTGCAAAGCCTCTACGGACTGAAGCAAGCATCGCGTGTGTGGAACGAGACGAT